GTTCAGACTTGTGTCGAGACCACCAGCAAACAGCGACCAGAAAGAACCCTGTTACTCAGATAGACACAATGGAAGCAGATCTAGAGGCGGACCATACAAGCGATGGATAGATTAAATATCTGAGGCCCTAAATACTATATTTGCATAGCACATATCAAGGCCATCTAACCCGATCCCTCTTCACAGCCTGACTCTGAAAAGCAGAACAGGACTTGAGAAGAAAAAGATGTCTGTGAATGATGAAAGTATCTTGTGTGACAGGTGTCCATGTTGTCTTTATTTGCCTTCCATCTCTTTCTGAATTTTTTCTATCAGTGGAGCATAAGCTCTCAAGCTGCTGGTGCCAGTTCACCCTATACTTTACTTCACATGCAGCTCATCCTGTGTTCTCATATTTCTCGCATAATTTTCTCATTCTCTTTTCTATGTATTTTATGGTCTGCCATTATTTTTTTTTTTTTTTTTTTTTTACCTTGTAATTTTATTGCAGTTATATTGTTATCAGGTTTTCTTTATGTCATATATCCACAAAGTGTCTTTTCCTTACCTTTTGATTCACTGGAATTTGTTTAGTTCTGTCCAAATCTCTACTTCGGAGATTTTATCATACCATTTATTTCCCTCTAGTCTGCTCAGGCAGCAATTAATGACTTGTTTATAGTTTATTATAAACTTTATTTAGAAGTTCTCCATGCTTTCACTTCATACAGTAGTATTGATATGAAATTAGGGCTAAATATGTTTAATTTGATGCTATTTTAAATTTCGCCTAATTACAGCTTTTCTAGTGTAATTGAAACTCCTCTTGCCTCTTGTATTGATATTGTTAATCTCTGTTCGTTCCCCCATCCTTATCTACATTCTTCCCTAAACAAATTTATGACTCCACATTTTTGAGTGGGTTCTCACCTGGGAAGATTGGAACATCCTCTTTTCGGTACTTTCTTATTAGCTGACCACAAACAGGGGAAATCCACAGGTTACGGGATATTCAAATATTTCAGAAGGTGGTAGATTGAGTGTATAGCTTTGGTTAGGTAAACATGCGAAAATCTTGGCCTAGGAGAAAAACACGCTAAAGCACAGAAAACCTGCTCTTACCACCCTCTAAAACATTGGACTGTCCTATGACGTCATTTGTGGTCAGCTAAAAGAAAACACCCACTTCTTAATGTTCACTGGCTGTAAACTCAGGCAGAAAGTTTTGGTTGTTCGTCCACTTTTGGACTTTAGTCTTGTTCCAGAACATGAGTTTTACGTACACATCCATTTTACTTCTTCTTTACGTCCTCTTTTACCGCTTTGGGTGTCGAGGGAGATGTAAGGTCCTGCCTTATGCTTTTCTGGCTGCTTTGACCATAGACACATCGTGTTGCTGTAGAGTTTCTCTGATGTTGTCTTCTCCTGTTGTTCTTGGTCCACCTCTTGCTCTAGGTCCCTCTCCTCTTTTTGTACATGCCTTGTAGGGTATAGCATCAGAAGTCATTCTCTCCAGGTGGGCAAACCATTTGATTTGCAGTCTTTGTATGTCATTTAAAATTGGTTCTGTACCGACTTTATCTCTTTTGACCTCATTCCTGATTTTATCTCTTCTGATCACTCCTACAATCTTTCTCAGACACCTCATTTCCATGCCATTTTACTTTTCTCGCTGACTTGTATGCAGACTGTTAGTTACTTGCACTCTTGACTTTGAAGTAAACCCTAATTAGTCGACTCTTACAACATGCTGTTTTTTTTAAAACCAATAAAGGGACCCTGGAACCCACACAGGGCGATTGGAATAATGTTTGCCTAGTTTATTCTGATTACCTTTATATTTATGTTATCTGGCTGTAGTTAACAAAATGATCTCCTGTTACAGGTGGCTATGTTACGGAGTTTGTCTCATCCGTGTGTTTTGAAGTTCCTGGGTGTCTTGTACAGGGACAAGAAGCTGAATCTTATTACTGGTTGGTTTGATTTCTTTGTGTGATAATTTATGTTCGATGTGATTACACACACTCACACACACGCATGCACGCACACAAAGTAACTAAAGGTCCCGTTACATGCCAGTGGCGCATTTGGCATATGTTGTTAGACTCGTATTCTTATATATCTGGCAGCTCTCGATGAGTGATGTGCTCAGCGTTATGCTGACCACCTTTACTTCCTAGGAACTTACCCCCTTTTCACCTGGAAGCCAAGGTCATTTGTGAAGAAAACCATGACTCAGTGTGGATTTGAACCCATGACCTTTGGGCTGGCAGGCGGAGATTTCAGCCGCTACACTGAAATGATTCCGACATACACACACACACACACACACACACTTGCACATACCTTGCCAGTCAGCAAGGCATTTGATGATGATTAAGCTCACTTGTAGCCTTAGTTTTAGAATTTCAATTAGATCACATGGGTCAGGATACAAATCACTTAATACATTTTTTAAATACGTCTCTTTTTTTTTTGGTGTTAGTTTGATTACACCATTAATATACTCCCAAAACAAATATTAAAGTATGCATAAATAACTTTAAAAAATTATTATTGACTATGCCAAATGGTTATTTTTAAAGACAATTTTGAAAAAAAAAGGAGGGGGGGGGGGGGGGGGTTGGTTTCTCATTTTCCCCCCCCCCCCCCCCCTTTTTTAAAAAGCTTTTCCAGGACAAAGAGGGTCACGCTAGTTTCACGCCCTTTCCAAGACAATGCCAACACAGCATTTATTTGCTGTTGTCTGGTTTTACTAGGCAATGTTAAATTCAGTACTTTGCCATTGCTTTCTAAACAAGCGAGGCTGGCATACCACACTGAGCGGTCCGCTACCAGTTCGCTGCAGTTGACTTTGAACCCTTGTGTTTATAAGGAAGAAATTGAATTTTATGTGTTTATTCATTTGTGCTCTATCCCAGTCTTTAAGAAAGAAAATAGGGGTTTTTGAGCTGAAATGCTGCAAAAAGGTTCTTAGAATACCATCGACAAGGAAGAGAAGGAACACTGACATTTTAAAAGATCTGAACATCAAGGAAGATTGGCTAATAAACAGAATCATGTCTCTGAAGCTGAAATATTTTGGTCATATCAAGCGCAGTGACGGATTGGACCAAAAATAATAGTAGAAGGCATGGTACCAGAAAGAAGGAGCAAGGTGTGGGTTCCGGTTCCCCATTGTGGGGAAAACAAGAATAGACCCACTGCCTCCCCAAAAGCATGTCGTAAGAGTCGACTAATTGGGGAGCTTCCTTTGAAGTCGGAGTGCATCTTCCGGAGAGGCAAGGAACCATCAGTCTGTTTTCAAGAGAATGAGATCTGTAAAACTGATGCACACGCAACACTCAGCTTCTGGAGCAGGACTGCAGTTCAGTAATGAACGAGCAACCAGAACTTTCCGTCAGAGTGTACAGCTGGTGAACGCAAAGAAGAAGAAGATTAACACGAAGATGGGAAAAGACTATAAGTGACTCTTTGAATATGAAAGTTCATGAGGCGGGAGACCTGTTGAGAGACCAAGTTTCTTTCAGACAGACCGTGATGAGAGTGACCTGAAAAGGACCTGCTACATTACGATGATTTATTTATTTTACCTTATGTTCAGCAGATTGTGCTGTATGATGCATACCTGTGCAGTGAACAAGCAGTTAGAGTATAATAGAAGCCTCTGCAAATGTGGATGTACTGAAGAATAGGTCGTATTTTATGGAAACAAAATCAGTCCAATCACAGAGATTCTGAAGAGACTAGGAATGAAAAATGTGTTGAACAAACTAAAAAAAAAAGAGTACAAGTGGCAGGATAACATCAGGCAATCAGTGAACAGGCAATTAGTGAGAGTGTACATCCAGCGTGAAAGACAGTGTTGGAGGATTCATTGCAGGTAATCTTAATTGTTGAGATGACACGTGATTGATTGATTGATTGATTGTTTGATTTAACAGAGTTCATTGATGGTGGAACATTGTCAGATCTTTTATTGGATCACAGTGTGGAACTCTCCTGGAAGCAGAGAATAGCTTTTGCCAAGGATATAGCTGCAGGCATGGTAAGAAAACAGCTGTTGTTGCTTTTGATTCCACTTTTAGAGATTGTCTCTTATACAGACCAAACTCAGCGGAGAAGTAGAAAACAGATGAGCAAGAGACCAGCAGCAGTACAAGTGGGAAGATAATATCAAGAGATTAATTAACAGCAGTGGAGAGAGTGTATAACCATGGCAAGAGACAAAACAGTAAAAAAAAAAAAAAAATGCTGTTATCAAAGGGTCACATCTTGGACACATAAACCTGTCTTTTATTGCCCCTTCCAGTCACTCATCTAGATATTGCAAGTTTATTTCCAAAAATGCTTTGCTTATTTCAGTTGGAAGGATTCTTTACTGTTTTCCCCCTGTTTAATTCTGTAGTTGCACCTTTTTAAGATAGAGCGAAATGTGTCAGTCAGTAAATTTTGCAATTTATTGTTCTTTTTTTTGTCCATGTCTGCTTTATGCTTCTAGGCATCACAGTTTAACAGGTGATAGATAACTTTGTTGCTTTTATTGCTTTTATATTGTAATGGTGTGAAGTTTCAGGCTGTCAGTGACTCCACTGATCCATCCTTTTCTATATCTCTCTCTGTCTCTGTGTGTCCATTGTCATCTGTTATGCTTCCATTGTCACATGGCATGCTTCCGTTGTCATATGGCATACTTCCATTGTCATATGGCATGCTTCTGTTGTCATATGGTATGCTTACGTTGTCATATGGCATGCATCAATTGTCATATGGTATGCTTCCATTGTCATATGGCATGCTTCCATTGTCTTATGGTGTGCTTCTATTGTCATATGGTATGCTTCCATTGTCATATGGTATGCTTCCATTGTCATATGGTGTGCTTCCATTGTCATTTGGTATGCTTCCATTGTCATATGGTATGCTTCCATTGTCATTTGGTATGCTTCCATTGTCATTTGGTATGCTTCCATGGTCATATGGTATGCTTCCATTGTCATTTGGTATGCTTCCATTGTCATATGGTATGCTTCCATTGTCATATGGTATGCTTCCATTGTTATATGGTATGCTTCCATTGTCATTTGGTATGCTTCTATTGTCATATGGTATGCTTCCATTGTCATTTGGTATGCTTCCATTGTCATATGGTATGCTTCCATTGTCATATGGTATGCTTCCATTGTCATATGGTATGCTTCCATTGTCATATGGTATGCTTCCATTGTCATATGGTGTGCTTCCATTGTCATATGGTATGCTTCCATTGTCATTTGGTATGCTTAGATTGTCACATGGTATGCTTTCATTGTCATATGGTATGCTTCCATTGTCATATGGTATGCTTCCACTGCCAGCATTGTTGGATTCCTTCCCCTTAGTTAACTGAAACGTCTTGGTCAGATATGACTGAGCTACGGTATAACAGTAGCAGGTACCACCCGTCTTCTGTTAGCGCTGAATGTTGGGTGGCATACACCAAACCTGGCATCCCAGATTGTGCCAGCTGCCAACCGTTTGTTTTTGTTTCTCCGTGAATTTAACATTTAATGATGAGTACTGTTCTTATAGTTTTTCTAATCTGTTCATACTTTTTCTGATCTCACATGATCTCTTTTGGTTTGCTTGCATCCTTTCTCGAACATCTCATTTCATAGGTGGTTAGTTTCATTTGTTAATACATGGTAATAATTTCTATTTTGTTTTTGAAACAATCTGTTTTTAAAAATAATTTGAAAAAAATTCAAAAAATATTGCACTTATAATAGATCACATTATTGATCGTATATAATGTATTGCACATATAATGTATCACACATATATTATGTGTAATAGATCACATATATCACATATAATAGATCACATATGGGTCATATATAATATATCATTTATAATATATTTCATATAATATCTCTCTCTCTCTCTCTCTCTCTCTCGCACACACACACCACACCACACACTAAATAATAGATCACAAATAATAAGATCACAAATAAAAGATCACAAATAATAGATCACAAATAATGAATAACATATTATGGATCACATGTATGATATATCACATATGTCACATATAATAAATCACATATATAATATATCATGTAATATATTGCATAACATATCACATATAATATATCACATTATATCACATTTAATAGATCGCATATAAAAGATCGCATAATATATATCATATATAAAATATTTTGCACTTATAATATATCATACATCTATTGCACATGTAATATATCGCATCTAGAATATCCCATATAGTATATGTTTTTATTCTAGAGCTACCTGCATTCAGTGGATATCATCCATCGGGATCTGAACTCCCAGAACTGTTTGGTGAGGAAGGTGAGCAGATTTATTTAACGTATTTGTTAACTGTTAAATGAAGGGGTGGCTCCACATAATCCTTAACCATATCACTACAAGAAGGCTAAATCTGCTCTTTCTGTTTGTGACATAGCTCTGTAAATGGCTATATATTGCCATTTCTGCAGTGACTTTCTGGAAAAGCATAGTTAAATGTTATTAGTTCTGTATGCACTGCACAGTGTTAAGGAGGCCCAGATGTGAGTGTATTAACTAAATATAACATTTAGAGTGGTTTCATTGTAAATCGAGTAGCTTTTTAAAAAAATGCCAGGATGACTTAAAAATGTCCCCTGAGCCTCAATGATAGAGGTTATGGAGTAACTGATACATAGTTTTAGGCCTTGAGAAATGCATTCCATTTAGTGTTGCAATCTTTTCTTGTTTATTGATTACTCCCTTATATACCTTTATATATTTTGGGGGGAGGAAATTGGGATAAATAAATTTGTAAACAAATGTCACTTACCTGTGTAAAATGTTGGTGTTTTAATACATTTTTTCCTTAAAACAACTCCCATCTTTTTTAAAGCATTTTTGGGGGCAGAAGAGTTGATTAATTGTACATCTGAAAACAAAGTTGAATTATTTGGATATGTTAAGCATATATTTTTTACACTTCCCATTCAGGATTGCTGTCCATAGGATTAACACCTGAAAGATGAGAATCAAACAGGTAGAAATCCCATAAAACAGTGTCAACTACATAAAACAGTATATTAGGCTACCCCTGTAGTTATGACGCTAACCTGCTGCCCCAATAGTTACGATGCTAACCTGCGGCCCCTATAATTATGATGCTAACCAGCGGCCCTTATATTTACGATGCTAACCTGCCGCCACTATAGTTATGATGCTAACCTACAGCCCATAGTGGTGTCAGGATATCTTCGTATTTATTAATTATTTGTTACTATTCATTATTACTGTTGAGGAGCCGTCGTGGTGTAGTGAATAGATGCTCGCCTCTGAATGTTGTGGGTTCAAATTTGAATGATGTTTGACTTTTAAAAAAATGACCTTGGCTCTCAGGTTGATCCAGCCTTAAATGGGTAGCAGGTAAAAGTTCTGGGAATTAAAGCTGGCTGACCTGATGCTGCCCGCATCACTCACTGAGTGCCGATTGATCTAAAAAATATAGGTCTAGCCCTATATGCCCAGTACCCTTGAAGACATTAAAAAAGCGTCCTTTAAAATTGTTGGTCAAATTAGGGACTTTTCCAGCATTTGTGAACAATATTTAGCTGTTGTTGATGATGTTTATTGTTTACTTATTAAGAGTATTCTTACACCAGCAGCTCTTCTATGACATCTCATCTCTGTTGCTATGATTTTACACTTGTCAGTTGTTGTAAGGGTCCCTGTTAGGCACTTGTAGCATAAAGTTGGCCAAAAATGGTTTGATTACATTTGCTTTGGTATACAAATGTACCAATCTTTGTGTCAAGAATGGTATCAGGGACCAGAATCTGACCCATACCTTGTTAGACTTCTGTTTGGTAGAAAGCAAGCTTATTGTCCTGTTACAACTGAGAGGATGTCAACAAGAGAAGGTCAAACACTTTTCTGGGATCGTTTGCAACCCTAGTGAAAACGACTTCTTCTTCTTCTTCTGTGTTCGACATCAGTCATGCTAAACATTGAGTCCCGTCTGGGTCACAAATAGGATTGTGCGTTTAAGGTCGCCGCCGGTCCCCCATAGCTTCTCTTTCAATGTGGCTTCCTTGGGCCAGATCCACAGTCTTTGCTGGGAGATGTGAGGGCAGTACTGCAGTATGTGCCCAGGGGTCTGTCTTTCTGCTCCACAATCACAGGCAGCTGATTATTTTTTAGTGAAAACGACTGTTGGAGATCCATTGCAGTCAGCCTTTTATTGTGAAGGTGGCACTTGAATGATTGCCAAATTTCTTTAGTAATATCAGGAAGGGATTGAGAATGAAGAAAGAAATGATTACAGAAAGGATGAGAAATGAGCATCTGAGAAGAAACAGACAACACAAATGTTAACTACAACGCTCCTAAAATTCCCATGCCTACTCATAGCGTAGTATAAAACTATCGTCTGGACAGACGGAAAGATGCCAATCATGTTGATATAACTATGTAATAACGCACCTGCCAGGATCCAACGAAATACGCCTGGCAATAAATTGTGCACTATATTGTTTGTTTCCACATTTTCTTTTTTTAGGTAGTTAATTTTATTGGCATTTCACCTGTTTTTGTTAACCTTCATTTGTTTACAGGATCAGAGTGTTGTTGTGGCAGATTTCGGCTTGGCTAAAATATGTCCTTTTCGAGATGTTTCCCGGTTCCCCAGTTTCTCAGAGAAAAACAAGGAAGGAGGGTCAGGTGCTGGTGGTAGCACGGTTTCAACAAGGAAGAAAAAGAGGTTCTCTCGACGAAAACGTGGCACTGTGGTTGGAAACCCTTACTGGATGGCCCCAGAGATGATGACCAAAGGGGTTTATGATGAGAAGGTCGATGTGTTTTCATATGGAATTATTGTTTGTGAGGTTGGTCTCATTTTTCTCATTATCATTATCGTTATTTTCAGTATTTTGTCAGCAAAAGTATTGTAAAAAAGTTCTTTACCTTCAGGCACAAGTCTTTTCTCCTCCTCACCCTCCTCCTCCCCGCTCCTACCCCCTCCTACTCCCCTCCTTTTTCTTCTTCTTCTTCTCCTCCCCCTTCCCCTTCCTTCTCTTTCTCTTCCTCCTCCTCCTCCCCCCCTCCTTCCGTCTTCTTCTTCCTACAACTGCTGCTTCTTCTTCTTCTTCTTCTTCTTCTCCTTTTTCTTCGTCTTCTTCTTCTTCTTCTTCTTCTTCTTCTTCTTCTTCTTCTTCTTCTTCTTCTTCTTCTTCTTCTTCTTCTTCTTCTTCTTCTTCTTCTTTTTCTTCTTCTTATTCTTCTTCTCTTTCTTCTTCTTCTTTTTCTTCTTCATATTCTTCTTTTCTTCTTCTTATTCTTCTTCTCTTTCTTCTTCTTCTTTTTCTTCTTCTTATTCTTCTTCTCTTTCTTCTTCTTCTTTTTCTTCTTCTTATTCTTCTTCTCTTTCTTCTTCTTCTTTTTCTTCTTCTTCTTCTTCTTCTTCTTCTTCTTCTTTTTTCTTCTTCTTCTTCTTCTTCTCTTTCTTCTTCTTCTTTTTCTTCTTCTTCTTCTTCTTCTTCTTCTTTTTCTTCTTCTTATTCTTCTTCTCTTTCTTCTTCTTCTTCATTCACACTTAAAAGGATTGTTGGCATATTGTGTTGCTGTCTGTAGCTAGGCTGCAATATCTGGGTCTTTCAGTCTGACACATCTGATTTCATTTAACCCTCATGTGGGCGTTATCTGTGACATGCTTATTAAGGACCAGTTTGTCTATTTCCTACCCACCCCTTCCTTGATGTTTGCTATCCTCCAGCTTGGGTTCTGAGGCCCCGTTTGGAGAGAGAGAGAGAGGGGGGGATGGAGGGAGAATAAACCCACTTTCACCTAGAAAGTATTTATACAAGACAACAGAGGATGTTTTCTGAAATCCGATATGTTGGACTGAAACCCACATATATCAAAGCCTAGTTGCCACCTACAACACAATATGTCAACTGCCCATTTAGGGTGGAAAGACAGATGCATGAGAAAAAAAGAAGAAGAGAATAAGAATAAAAGGAGGAGGAGAAAAAGCTGCAGTAGGTCTAGAAATAGTGGTAGTAATGGTGGTAGTAGTTATAGTGGTAGTTTATCCATTCACATTTTGACTCTGTTGCTTTCTTCTCTACTATCAATTGTAATTTTATCCAGAAGTAGCTTTATCTGTCTGTCTTGTATCTACAGACAATTGCCAGGGTGACTGCAGATCCTGATTACTTGCCGCGCTCTTTTGACTTCGGCCTTAATGTGGAAAGCTTCCACCAACGATTTTGCCAAGATATTCCAGAGCCTTACTTCATGCTGGCTGTTCTATGTTCTCAGATTGAGCCAGATCAAAGGTACGTGTTAGCATCCATTTTGGATACACACATTTTTG